AAGTGTTGAGCCAAGCGGAGATGCAGAGATTGACGTTTCAACTCTGGACTCTCCTTTGCAAAGCATTTCAGGAAAAATCTTACACTGTCTTTGTTTCATTTTTTATAGGTTAAAGTCGCGGAAACTTAACAACCCTAACAAGTTATTTTAAATTATGGCTACATATTACAAATTTATGACCAGGAATTACAATGTTTGAGTACTAATGAATAATTTATGGCCACGAATTACAAATTTATGACTACGAATTACAATTTTTGAATACTAAATACAAGTTTAAACCAGAATAAACCGGAAAAGTCGCATTAAATTGCAATGGTAACATAAAAGTCAGCCCTTCTATATATATGCATATGTTTCTAAAAACACATATGCCATGCAACCGTTCTCTCCTGCCTGCAACGCTGTCTGCGGTCACCTACAATTTTGGGGAGGTGTACCAGAGTGCCTGCAGAAGGACGGGGGGCATATCTGCGTTAACAGCGACACACACACAGAGGACCTGGTTTCTGAGCATAAACCAGGTTTCAGTGTGCTGCGACACTTGCCTACCCCCGCCTGTTGCTTCATCAGCCAGCTAACTGAGGGATTGCTCCTTTATTTTCTCCCTTTTATTTCGGTTCAACGTGGAATTCTTAAACCGCATTTATACTCACCCAGCTCCGCCAAGTTCCCAAAGGCTATCAGACACATTTCTGTCAGTGCAGTGTTGTCAGAGTGGATGCCCAGCAGCTTCACCAGGGTGGGAATAACACCCATGTTAATCAGCTGGGCTTGTAGGGTATCTGGAGGAACACAAAGATGAAAAGAAATGCACTGAGGCTATTTGGGTTTTTTCGTAAACTATACAACAACAGCTTGGTGAAAAACAACCAAAAAATCCTAATTGAACAACCTTAGATGAAATATTATGAATCTGATTCAGGTGATCATCTACCAGCCACGGCTGTGACGACGTGAAGACAGAACAACATGGCAACAAAGACTCTGGAAAAAAACTGTATTATTGTGATACTGGGAACATTAATAATAAAAATATTAATTATAGTGATTTTTGCTTTGCTTTACACACAATTCCACATGTTAATGTCAGGATACAGGTGCTGTCGTTAGGGATTACCAAAACATGTTGAAAGGACGTTTGCACATTAGAGACAAAGAGAGAAAATGAGGCAAAATAAAACAATGTTTAAGAGTTTGGTTTTTTTTAATCAAGAGCCAGAATAGAAGAAAAGGCAGAAACAGGTAGAATCATCTTTCTTAGCAAAGACTCAACCCTTTATAGCCCCATTTGATCAAATATGTCCCACTAAATAGGAGCATTTTGTTTTCTTCCACTGGTTTAAATATCAAACTGGACCTAAAAGGATCTGATGCTTCAACTAAAAGAACCATAAAAAAATTTAAAATTTTATTGAGCTGCTAATTTTCCTAATTTATATCAAATATGTCCAAAGCTGTATGGCCAAAGGTAAGATGGCGAGGTCCTAAAACCAGCCAATCTTTCCATCTCTAATTCCTTCTGTTGTGGCGCTAAACTGCTAAACGCATGAAACTCTTCCCCCACCTCAACGCAAACCTAAAACCAGGACAGAGGAGGCGCATGTCAAAAGTCCTTCAACGCTCTGTTGTTCATGGGGATTTTATCTGTTTGAAAAAGTAGCGAGGAAATGAAGTAGCAGGAAAAACACAAGCACTAAACGACCAAAAGCAGTTTTTCGCTTGTCTTCGTTAAGGTTCTGGCATGTGGATCCCAGAAGCACGGCAAGGCAATTAACCCATTTACGCTACCCTTGAAAAACCGGTCCGAGCTCAGTAACTGAGCTAACTTATCATGTGTAAATGGAAAGCAAACTGAACCAAACCGAGCTAGACACAACCGGACCGAGATAACTGCAAGCCAGTTCCAGAGGCGGGCTCGGCTCGGTTCTCTGATAACAAGAGCGCATGAGCAGAACGCGTCATCTCCGTCTGGCTGCACATCGCGATTCACACTCCATTCCAGTAGTTGGCGGTAATGCCCCTCCAGAAGTTGCTTGC